TTTGGTGTGCTGCCGCCCCCACTTCATAATCCATTCTCGAGGAGGGCTGTCCGACCTGCTCGACCGTGTCGAACTTCGTACATGCAGAACTGGCCGATACGACCGCTCCTTTAGCCCAGGGTATCGAGATTGAGAAAAAATCCCATTGTGGAAATTTTTCCCAGTTCTTCTAACCTCAAGCAGTTCAAAAATCGGATAAACAAAGTGTCTCTAAGCTCCTTATAGCATCCGACCTATGCGGCTGCATGCCCTCAAATTGCCACAGCAACATAAGGTGATCCTCCTACCCTGGCTTCCTAAGCAGAAAAGCTATCGCATTACCTCATCCTCTACTAAGCTTTCAGCTTTTCAGAACCAAGTACCAAGTACCAAGCTTGAGACGGGATACCTCAAGAAGACCTTATCAGAAACATGCACCGAGGACTGGACGAATGTATTCGATATTGGGGTAGTTCAGCATACTATTAGGGTAATCTAACATAATAGAGCAAATGTTTTCACTTCAAAATTGAATAACAACTTGCTCATGTCTAACTGCATACGAAATTTTACTCAAATAAAATCATTCTTCCTGAATGCTCTATTTTCTTTGTCACCGAGTATACCAAGACAAATTATTTCTACTCGTTACATCTTTGAAAACATCATCTGGATTGTGTCATAATAATTTCCGAAAACAATACTATGAGTGTATAATTGTTAACGGTTTCTAAATTGATACAATTAGTTTGCGCGATAGTGCTAATTTAACTTTTAACACAATATACATTCATACAAGTATAATTTTGCGTAAACAGCACATTTTTTGAATAAATAGGAAGACGATTGTTTAAAGTACCAAGTCTGAATACCGACCGATACAAATGTAGCCCTTACGAGGGATGTCTTTTAAATTTTGCATATAGAAACATAGTAGGCCGCGCGGATCGAACGTCAGTACTGAATCTTAACCTCACTCTTTAGTAAACTTAAATTCAAAGTTTCACAACAATACGTGCAACCGAGAACATTTTCGCGCCATAATTTATTACAACTTTCAGAGACAATTATCGCAACAAGAATGCCTTGCTGAGTTACTGTCTATTTTCGGCAACGAAGCGCCACATCAGTCGACAATTTCCCGTTGGTATGGAGAATCCAAACGTGGACGGGTGAGTCTTAGCGACGAGCCCAGGGTGGGTGCACCAAAAACGGCAGTCACCCAGGAAAACGTCGATGCTGTGCGCAAACTCATCAATGAGGATAGACATGTGACATATCGTGAGATTGAGGCGTCCTTGAAGATCTCAAAGACCTCAATTCAAAAAATTTTACATGAAGAATTAGGAGTAAGAAAATTAGTTTCTCGTCGGATACCCCACTTGTTGACTGAAGAGCAGAAAGCAGGGTTAATTGGTGTCAAAAAACGCTTGACCGTTTCAATTCCGGAAACTCAAAAAATGTGTACAGCATTGTTAGTGATGATGAATCGTGGATTTACTGTTATGAACCAGAAAATAAACGACAGTCGGCTGTTTGGGTGATCCAAGGTGAAGAAAAGCCAACAAAAGTCATCCGTTCTCGAAGTGTTTCGAAAAAGATGGTCGCGACATTTGTGTCAAAAGCGGGTCATATTGCAACGATTCCTCTTAATGAGCAAAGAACTGTTACTGCGGATTGGTATACCACCATCTGTTTGCCAAAAGTCATCACCGAGCTTCGAAAAATTAACCCCGAAAGAAAAATCATCCTCCACCAAGACAATGCAAGCTCGCACACAGCTCAAAAAGCAAGGCAGTATTTAACGGATGAAAACGTGGAATTATTGGACCATCCTCCATATAGTCCCGATCTAAGTCTTAACGATTTATTACTTTCCCGAAAATTAAAAACAGACTGCGTGGTCAAAGGTTCCAGTCACCAGAACAAGCAGTTGACGTATTTAAAAATGCCGTTTTGGATGTGCCAGCAAACGAGTGGAATAAGTGCTTCGAAAATTGGTTCGAGCGCATGGAGATGTGTATTAATCTTCGTGGAGAATACTTCGAAAAACAATAAAGTCATTTAAAACTATCTACCGTGTTTTTTTATTTCTATATGCAAAACTTAAAAAACATCCCTCGTATAAGAGCGTTCCTTATGAAATGCAATTATGCCATTCTTTCCTGCGCCGGAAGTTTGTTGTCTTTGGTTTCCTGGACCATTGTACATCCGTAAGCTTAGCAATATTTCTCGAAAGTTTTACTTTTGTTGAAGACCCCATAAGTAACGCGTGTAAAATTTTGAATTCACTTACATTCTATTAGTTCAAGCTATGTCCACATGGTGGCGCCTAAGTAGTTGCCGCTCGCCAAATCTCAGGCACAGCCACCATTGTCAGTCACAGCGGTCAGCGGGACCTTTAGTCTTGGTTGAAGTATTGTAGGTCTGTTAGGTCTTGTTGTCCAAATACAAGACAAAGTAAAGAAGAAAGAAGGTAATAAGGCAGAAAGGAAGGAAGGAGAAGAGCAAAGAGCAGAGTGCGTTATTTGAACTAGTATTTAGTAATTTTAAATTACTCTAAAAATTAATTTAGAAATGTGTGGAAATACTGTAATGTTGGGTGGATCTAGATTTTCACGATTTAATTTTGTTCACAGTGCGGGCAGCGAATTTGCTCGACTGTGTAGTATACTGACTCACGCAACACAGGGTTGCTGTGCGATTCAGCTTGACGAAGCAATAAAACTTGTTGAATACATTTTCCGTACATTATGTACGGTATCGGCGCAACTTGGGCGTTCAAGTGGCTCTATTAGCGGCGTCTAATAGCTAAAACTGGTGGTCTTGTTTAGTGGCTCGATTGGGCCTCGATCTGCAATGCGTAGTGGCCGCCACATATTGCCTAGTGTGAGACAGCTCTAATACCTTCTAAGTTACTCGTGCAGCAGGACATGAATGTCGGGTTTGAAACAGCCGATTGAAACAAAACGACAAACAATAGAGTTTTTTACCTTATCAAGTGAAATATTCGTAAAATATATGGCAGAGATAAGCTTGTATTAGATTACGTAAAGAATTATCACACGTGTACCTTTTCCCGTATATACATGATTACGCCTATTTCAAGGCGATCAAAATTTCCGTTTGCGTGTGAAAAATGAACCCTGTCAATAAAAAAAAAAGAAGTCGACTAGGGTCGAGGCGCTTTGCGAATATCGTGAAATAACAAAATAACGTTGAATGACCTATAATAATGCTATCATACATCGCAATTCGGGAGAAACGTAAACATAAATGGATGATAATCGATATTGATATTAAAAATATGTTATCAGCAGCATAGGTGCGATAGCAAAAATTTTGGTAGGTATCTGGTGATATAGAATGTAATAAGTACGATTTACTAATGAAAAATTTTGTTGTACCTAACAGAGTATTAGTGGACATGGTGCTGTCAAAAAAAGTTTTAAAAATTCCTGAGGTGACTTTAGACCGGAGGTTTTCAAATTTATTTCGTCGACTGCTGCATCAGTGCTTCTGAGATCGAATGTCTAAGACTAATGTGTCATGAAAGGCGATTTCCGAAAACCGCTGGTTTAGAAAATATAGCGTGCAGTTTAGAAGCAGAAAATTCTAATTCCTTCAATGTGTTCAAAGCTGAGATTGAACTCTATAAAGAATAATACACTCAATTCTTTACCCACGTATCATCCATTACCCCATTGCAATTAAGCTACATTTAATTTACAAGTTTTATTTTTATGCCCATGTTCTTATAGCACAAACGGGCGTTCAGCATTTCGATGGCCTCCCTGTAAAAACATTGACTGCTGAAAACCACTCCTCCACCGCAGATCTCTAGTTGCTCACTTGAAATTTTCTTTTCTCGTAATCTAATCAAATTACCAGGGGCCAGGACTACCAATTCAAAGCCAGCTTGGTATAGAACAGACAACAATATATGAAGTATGGCTGGGAATAAAGAAATACGGTACTTGTTAACTCTTTGTAAAAGCATCTCTCAACTTTTGGATTGTATCACAATATCATGCATTCTTCGCTCAGTCAACACCTCTATAGGTGGCCCACTACCATGTTGGTGTTCACAATATGTGTTTTCGTATTTAAACTCGCAACACCAGCGTTTACTGCATCACAAGAAACTGCATGGCCTTCAACAGTTGTCACAATATTTTGATGAGCTTCAGGGCGCCATACCCTTTTTTGCAGATATTTTTAACAGCTCTTTGTACAACAGCCTCCATTTCTAAAACTTTTCACACATGAATCAAGAAGCACATAAGTTAATATTTAGCTAAAGTATCAGCGGTTAATATTTTGACAGTCTCAATGTGCGCCACATTATTTTACTTCCCACGCCTAGTGACGGGGAAGCATGGGAATCGCGAGAATGTTCGAAAATGAGATATTATGTTTTATGAATGTTATACGACATGTACCTACATCATGAAAACAATGTTTTCCGTCGGTCTGTCTGTCTGTACTCTAATCTTATAACCGCCATAGCTTGAGAAGTACCGCTCGAACTTCAAAGCAACAATGTTACTACTACGCCGAGGATGTAAAATCTTTGTAATATTTGGAAATCGGTCCTATCGTGGAGGAGAAAAAGGCTAAAAAAAAGGAAAAAAATCGCTCAATCTAACGATTTTGTCGATTCAAATGATTCTGATCATTTTCGGAAAAATAGTTAACCCCAAACATTTACCCTTAAGACTTAGAAATACCTCCTACGGTCGGGTATCGATACGTATGAAGTGGTGCTCCGATGGCCAAGCGTCATCGTCGGTGGTCGTAAGCAGAGCATAGGGACCAACAATCATACAAAGACAACTGTTTTTACCGGATTATCGAAAATGTAAAACAAACATAAGATATTTTTTTAGGTCCTACTGATCCTAGCATGTTCAAAAATACTGGGAACTCTTTCTTAACTTGTTCCGAGCAGTCACGATACAGCAATATTTAGGCAGCTTCAGCAATAATAAATACAATGTGATAAAGTTTTTAGTAACTACCAATCAGTAGGAAGAGTTCAAACTCCATAGGTTAAAAATCAAACTAACGCAACACCACAATCACAGCTGACCAAAAAGTCACTGATCACCACAACGCCACGGTGTTTTTCACATGACCATCTCCGGTCAAAGCACTCTAGATTTTTTCGTCTTTTCGCGGATGCCGACACGTTTTCGGCGGCTGCGAGATCCAGATTGACAGCAGGTCGCAGGTATCGCGAAAACTAAACTTGAAGTTTCGATGGAAAGCTCGACTTGGCGAGCGTCAGGCACGCGACTTCAGACTCAGCGTCGCGTCGATGGATGCAACTGCCCGTGTTTTACGCGCAACGAAGTGGAGGTGGCAATCACTCAAGTTTGCCGCTTGTTTTGAGGCGTTTTCGCGATTTTTGACGGTTCGGCCTGCTGGGATGATTATACTCGTACATTGCAGGCTGATAGCGACAGGGTTGCCACGTCCTTTTACTTCCGATGAAAAAATTGGCGAGGAGGTATTGCAATCGCAAAAAATCATGACAGTAATTTCCGTCGAACTATCCGCTAATTTTATAACCGCCTATTAAACCTATAAAACCGGTCGTGTTGGCGGAGCCAGGGGCAAAAACACGAAATAACTAAAAATAATTTTTTGACGTATCAGATGCTGATCATTTTCGGAAATTTTTTGTAGGTTTTGAATCTTGGGGGTTGGAGATTGTGGAGGGTTGTAAATGTAACGTCTTTGGTATTAGTCAAAAACGTTCCATCATCAAGAAGCTTCTGATACCGGTAACAACGGGAACATTAAATGATAAAACTTCGATGTCTAATAATAATAATTATATCATAATAATTTATAGGTGCTATTACAGATATGTGTTTGCACAAGTCAGCTAAAGTAAAACATGAAAGAGTAAGCAAAAACAACAAACAATACGTAAATGAGACAAACACAAAACAGAAAGTGGCTAAATAAAGAGTTAATAAAATTAAAGTTAAAATTTATATTAATAATAAACAGAGTTGGTTAAAAAATTATAAAAGAGACTAATTACAATAAAAATTACACCAGGCTGAAAAAATTGTAGTTAAGGAAGGCTTTTTCGTCAAAAAAAATATGTTCAGATAGTAGGAAGGATTTAATAGTTTTGCCAAATTCAAATCATTTAATATTCTACTTATAGTTTTCGTAGAAACACTGACAATTCCTTTTGTCTCGATTTCGGCTTTTATTTGTCTTGGGGTTTTAAACGGATCTTTGGACGAAATTACTTTTATTATTCTAACTGATCTAGCATTTAGTTTTCTAGGCCGACCACTTCTGTTAGAGGCTTCCAAGATACCTTCTTCTTTATATTTGTTCAATATTGCCCAAACTGTTTTACGCTTCAGCTTGACATTTTTGGCAATGTCGACTTGACGTTGACCATCTTTGTATATATAACTCAATGATCTCAGTTTTCACATCGAAAGAACTTTCTGGACCACGCGGCATGGTCTTAAAATCACTCAACTTATTCCACAATACTTGATGAACACAAACTAATCCTCTTCTGACACGAAACTGTACTAACGTTGAAAAGGATTTGTCTGCATATTTTTGTCCCTCATAAAAAGTGCTTATATTCAGACTTGTATTGTGTTCATTGCAGATAATGTATAAACAAGGAATTTGGTTATTCTACTAATAACGCATTTGTTTATGGAGCAATGAAGTATGAATTCGTTTTCTAAAGGTATTACTGTATATTCATACCTTATTACCGAATTAACATAAAACCCAGCCTAAAGAAAAATATTATTAGCTAATGGACAAAATGCCTAGATGGCCTTGGTAACACGACAAATCAGAAAAAGACATAATATGAACATATACAGGGTGCGTCATCTTTTATGTCGGTATGTAAACATGAAATAACTTTGAAAAAGAAAAACCGATTTCTATATATCGGGTATTTTTATTGAATATATTCCTTTACAATTTATTGGGACTAGTTTTTGAACACAACGTCTATCAAGTGGCCACCTTTATTGGACAAAACAAAATGTGCTGCGTTATCCATTACTTTTTCGAGCATCTCTGGTGGTATAGCGGCGATTAGGAATGTTTGCCTTGAGTTCCTCAATGGTCTGGGGCTTGCTGGCGTACAGTTGACTTTTCAAATAGCCCCGCAAGATGAAGTCCAGTGGGGTCAAATCTGGAGACCTGGGTGGCCAGTCAATGTCACCTCCTTTTGACATCAGACGTCCAGGGAACTTTCGTTGCAGAAACTGGATTGTTTCATTTGCAGTGTGGCATGGCGCACCGTCTTGTTGAAATCAGTAACCATCAAGACCTTTTTCACGCATTTGTGGGCAGACATAATGAGCCAACATCCACCGATATCGATTTCCATCGACTGTTTCGTTTTCGTTGAAGAAAAACGCCCCATTGATGGTTTTGGTACAAACGTCGGCCCAAACAGTCACTTTCTAGTCATGCAACGGCATTTCGCGGATCTCATGTGGATTTTTCTTCCCCCAAATGCGGCAGTTTTGCTTATTAACGCAGCCAGAGAGTGTGACATGGGCCTCGTCAATCATCAAAATTGGCTTCCAAAAATCAGGTTCAGCATGAACCACGCGAGCGACTGTTTGAGCGTATTCCACGCGACGAGGACGGTCAGTTGGCAATATTTTTTGTGATAATTGCACCTTATGAGGAAACAAATGCAAACCATCCTTCAAAATGCGCCGCAACGTGGTTCCACTGATGCCAAAAGGCTGAGCGCGGTGACGATACGACACTTTTGGGTTCTGGGTATGTTGACGATCTCCCACTGTCCCTCACGCAAGAAAATTCGAAACCAAACGACAAATAGTGTTCTCCGACGATGCCTGTTTGTCACGATATTTTCGACGATATGTACGTTGCGTTAACACAACTGAACGACGATTTTCAATGTATACTAAGTGACATATAAATCCGAACACCCAGTTTAAATGGTTTTATTTTAATAAAAGTTGGTGAATGTATTTATCTTACTGTAAAATTTTCAGCCTTATCAGTTGGACATTCTGGTTTTTATACTGCTTTTTTTTAATTCACTACCGCTCTAAAAATGAATATTTCAGCCGCAGTAAAGAATCAACGTTGGCGGATTTTGGTTCTTGACATCCTTTACGATCGGTTACGATGCCTAGAGAACGGAGACCTGTACGATTTCGTCAACTTAGTGAGTTTGATAGGGGCCGCATAGTGGGACTTCGGGAAGCTGGACTTTCTTTTCGGGCAATTGCAGTTCGAGTGCAAAGAAGTGTAAACACTGTGGTTAGGTGTTGTCAAGCATGGCTTCGAGAAGGCCATACGCAAAGAGCAAGGGGCACTGGACGCCGCCGTAGAACAACAGACCGTGAAGATCGCCGCCTAAGATTATTGGCCTTAAGGGACCGTTTCTCCACTACCAGGTCCATTGCAAATGAATGGTTTGCAGAACACGGAAGACCTATTGGCATGCGGAGTGTTTACCGACGAATGAGAAGTTTTGGCTTGTTTTCATACCGGCCACACTGGGTCCTCCCTTTAACTCGAGAACACCGACGTAATCGCCTTGAGTGGTGCAGACAACGGTCACTCTGGGATCAGGAATGGAACAGTATTGTCTTTAGTGACGAGTCTCGATTTTGTTTAGGCATGCACGATGGTCGTGCCAGGGTTAGAAGGCGACGTGGTGAAAGGAGGAATCCACAGTTTTTTGTTGAAAGACATGTTCATCACACTGTTGGAGTTATGGTTTGGGGTGCTATAGCTTATGGTTCCAGGTCACCTTTAATCTTCATCAGAGGTAACATGAACGCGCAGCGCTATATCCACGAAGTTCTAGAACCCCATCTTTTACCCTATCTTGACACCCTGGCAGATCCAACTTTCCAACAAGATAATGCCCGACCACATGTTGCAAGAGTCACAATAGACTTCTTTCAACATAATGATGTCACACTGTTACCATGGCCACCAAGATCTCCCGACTTATCCCCAATTGAGCACGTGTGGGATATGATGGGTAGGAGATTGCTCAATTTGCAACGTCCTCCTCAGACTCTAGAAGCACTTCGAGAGGAGTTGGTGGTTGCCTGGAATGAGATACCACAGGAGGACATTGACCACCTGATCAGAAGCATGCCTAGGCGCGTTGGAGAATGCGTAGCACATCAGGGTGCATCCACACATTATTAAAGGCCAATGGCTTTAAAGCAGTGCAATCATTTTGAAATTTTTATCATTTACTTATTATGCTTCATTAAGTACTTATACAAAATTTTATTAAATTAAAACCATTTAAACTGGGTGTTCGGATTTATATGTCACTTAGTATACATTGTGACTATTTCGGCTGGTTGTTTCGGTGCAAAGCGATTCATGACTAAAATTGTAGTAAATTAACGTTTCAGAAACACGTTTAACCAAATCACTCGGTTGGTAAATATCAAAGTCATTCGATGTTTCAATACCGACATAAAAGATGGCGCACCCGGCACATATTTGAAACGGCAAAGAAGAAATAATTAAGCTTTTAATAAACAATTCTTAAAAGTTTTTTTGAGAAAGTTCCTATTAAAGTGTTCGTGAAATCAATTAATTATTCCACTAAATTGTGCGTAATAGAGCGTTGAAATATGGCTGTCCTATATTGAGGCATCATGAGGAGATGATTGTTGAGCGTACTCAAATTGAGAATCAAATTCGTTTAAACAAGCTTCTATGGAGGAAGCTCACTCCGACCAAAAAAACTATGAAGATCAAATAAATTAAAATACTTTCATATTCATTTATATATCGTATTTTTCACCTTCCAAGATCACAAATTAAGCAGAAATTTTCATATGCAGTACCGTTGAAAAAAGTTTACATTCGTTTCTTCGCCTTATTGAACTTACTAACAACAACTGAGCGAGTCACATCGCAACAGAGACAGTACGCGTATTTCTGTTTTGCTCTACCTGAGTAAGAATAGCTCTTTCGAGAGAAAATAGCGTACGGCCACGTATTGGTTTGTCACTTTGGTAGACACTGGTAGGCAAATTATATAAAAGTATGGACTAAAACTACATAATTTTGGCAATAAACGATAAAATGTAACCATATAGGCTTGTCTCATTCTAGTCCATTTAAATTCGTTGGAAGCACATGGCTGGAATAAACGTAACCTATAAATGTGTATCGTATACGGGTCCGAATCGGTAGCGCAGGTTAGTCAGTGAAATTCCACGAGCAATAATTGCTACGTGATTCCAAAAAGATGCTGCCCTAATGAAGGAGCCAAGAATAAGAAGCTGAGACAGGCTTCCATCTTACAAAAAACGAATGTAATACACGGGCTAACGAGAAATAAGTTTTTTATGGAATGATTATGA